CCCCCCCAGTGGCCATAGTTACGTATCGTACGATCAAAGTCGCCTTGAGAGTTTGTCTCGAGGATCAATTCACTGATCCGTTCTCGTCCATCCTCGCGCAGGACGTCAATACCCACGTGGGCGCTCTGTCGGTGCTGTGCGTGGTTCTGTGTCTGAGCACGGCCCTGCTCGTCTGTCTGCCTTGGCTGGCCACAGTGAGGCGCTGTGGGGGGGCCCTGGCACTCTTTGTGTGGGGGACGCTGTACACCACGGCCATAGTCTTCATCTTCACCGGAGGACCTGTCACCACGTGGGAGCAGGTGAGTGCAGATGTTACATTCTGGACACGGAGATGTCTTCTGTAATGGTTGTTGACTCTTTGCTTCGGTCTCTCTCTCTCTCTCTCTCTCTCTCCCTCTCTCTCTCAGGTGGCGTTTTTCCTCTTCCTCTCCCTGAGCGTCTACACGGTGCTGCCTCTCTCTCTGGCCTGGGCCCTCATGGTCGGGATCGGCACCAGCGTCTCACACATCGTCATCATCAGTGTCTACGTCCCTGTCAGAAGCCCCGAGACTCCGAGCCTGGCTGTGCAGGTGGAGTACCGATTCATTTTTTCAGTTTCACTTCCTCGTGTGATAGAAAGTCTCGGCCCTGTGAGTATGAACCTGTCATTTCTACTAGTGTAGCTCATTGTTGATGCCCAAAACACCGTGAAGCTGCAAATGTGGCTGTCGGCTCTAATTTGCAAATGAAACAATAAGTGTGCTTGTGTCTCATGTAAAAAAAATTTGCCTCTTGATTTGAATATGGTGTGAAGCCTGGACGCTCCTGCTGCACTCTGTGGTTTGTGACCAGCAGCGTTCACGGTTCCTCTGGGAACAAAGCAGATGATCTGCAGAACCTTTCACTGCTCAGTGTTTGTCTCACTGTGACTTTCAGTCACTCTGAGAACGCTCCACCTCAAAGATGAAGTCCGTAGTAATACACGCGTCACTCTGTATTCTGCAGTATTCACAGTCTCCCCTCTGACTTCCTCCTCAGCTGGTGGCGAACGCCGTCCTGTTCGTGTGTGTGAACTGCATCGGGTTCTTCCACCTGTGGACGACCGAGCACGACCTCAGGATCTCCAATCAGAAGAGGGAGGGGTTCAGCGCCATACGCTCCAAGAAGGAAATAAGGAAATATCAGCAGGTTGAAGCTCTTTTGTCTCGTTCAACGTCATCGCTTCAGTTTGAAATGTCCATGTTTTTGTTTTTATTCAGTCTTCATGTCCCGTCGGTTAAACAGGTCCTTCTCTGTTCAAGTGTTTTTATTACAGGCTTTATTTGCATTGGTTTATTGTGGTTCACCTGACGCACAGCTGATCAAACTCACCACAGCTTTTACTGTCTGGACTCCAAACTTAATTTAATTCAACATTCTGAGATTGGAATAAATTTAATGGAACGTTTTCTTCAAATTATCTTTCAGCCAAAAAGACGTAACGTAAAACAGAAGCTTCCACATGAATTGTTATTATAAATATATCTTTTTACTCCATCAGTTACTACAACTACAGGAACTTGCTGAAGCTAAAGTGGTTTAAAACAAATATTTTCAGAACAATACACTTGATGAGATGATCGATACTGGCTTCACTTTGGAAACGATGTGCGGTCGTTACAGGGCTCTTTACGTGGACGGCCGGGGTTTGTTTACCGAATGCTTTGCTATTAGTTCAATAGATTAATCATTCACTCGTCTGAAGCTCGGCGGCCGCAGAGCGAACCCACATGGATGCTGCGTCACAGCGAGGAAACAAAGAGACGGAGACGTGATCCACTGAGTGAACTCAGCCTCGTTTCAAGGAGGCCGACTTTTCCTTTTACAGCCTTTCTGAGCAGATCGTCTCCTCCGCAAAACAATCCACTGTCCCGTCAATACAAGCTCTCAAACCTCATAACCCCCCCCCCCCCC